TAAGTGTGACTAATTGTTAGATTCAGAGGAATCATCCCAGAAGCTATATATAGTGTCCCAAGATTGTCTGTGATGAATGGGAAATATAGAAAGATGGAAGAGTTTATTCACTGGCTCCTTTCTCCCACTGGCCAATGGTTCCCCTGCTGGGTTAGGTATGTTTTGGAACGGTAGTGGAGGGCATGGAAGCAAAAACAGGAAGCTCTAAATCAGGAAATGAGGGATGTAGGGCATTGTCAAGTTGCACCTACATATGATGACTGGAACCTACAAGCAGCGGCATTAATAAGAGTGAGCCTGAGAGAATCTGAAATGGCTTATAAAACTCGTCTAAAACAATACCTTAAAAAAGTAAAGATATCTGTCAGACTGCAGTACCTGGGTGGCTCAGTTAAGCATCTGCCTTCAGCTCAGGTCGTGATCCCAGAGTCCTGGGATTGAGCCCCGAGTCGGGCTCCCCACTCAGTAAGGAGTCTGTCTCTCTCTCTCCCCTTGCCCCTCTCCCCTACTCGTGTTCTCTCTCGCTTGCTCTCAAATAAAATTCTTAAAAAAAAAAAAAAAAGAAAGAAATCTGTCAAATCACTTGTTTAGTTTTAGGTATGAAACTACAAAGAATTTGTCATATTTTTCACCATCGGTTCTTTTTGGGTGAGGTTAGGCTCTGGTTACCTAGTTATTCCCAGTGAATTTCTTTGGCCCTTATTGAAGAAATTAGCCATTTGGAAGTTTCCAGGTGATCTCAACTGAACCACATGAAAGTGCTATCATTCAGCTTCTTTGGGCCTACAAAATGGCAATGTCATATAGTTCAATTTAATAGAATATGTTAAGACTTTCCATAGGGAACCCTAGGAACTGATACATCTGTTTAGAAGACATTTAAGACAGAAATCAGCAGAGAATAGGATCTTGGATGGTAAGTCGATATTCAAAACAGGAGTGACCAAGATGTACAAAAAAGAAATGTATCAGCTTCCTCAATAAAGGATTATAGTAAGAGATTCAAACATTCAAAACATAATTGTTGCCCTTCCAAACGAAGCTCATGCACACCTCCCTAAAATAAATAGAGCCCTTTGTTTGGGGAAAACAAAATCATTTTTCTAAATATAATATAGGCTGTAAAGAACCTTACATTATTATGCAGACCCCATCAATCCTTAATGTGTTCACTATCCGGCTTCCAGGCTGTGCCCTGGGCTTACTAGGAACAAGCAACTATACTATTAGCCATCTATTCATTGATGTCTACACAGATTTGGAAGCAATCTGAAATCACTTTTCTGAAAGTTGGCCCAGATCAGACTTTTATCCAGGGCACCACTGCCCCCTCCGACTCCATACTATTCTCTGTAAGAAGGCAGAAAAGGATTTGGGTTCTTTCTTTATAATTAGAATTTACACTTGTAGTTACACTATTACCTTTTTCTGCTTGCAGTTGATTACAGGATTATCTCAGTAAATGCACATATACTGATATTAATTTAGGTCTTTTGAAAAACAATTTGAAGTAGGGCTAAAGAAAAAAGATGAAAAAAATAAATTAAATGAATAATCTCAAGGTTTCCTTAGAATAAGACACTCTCGTTACAATTTTTTATTTTGTTGTAAAGTGACCTTAGGATGTAGCTACTCTTTTTCAGTTTGTTTCTGGGAGGTAGAATACATAAGACTGATATTGAAATAAACCTAATAAAAATAAGGATGTAATTAAGTTAAGCACAGGGTAGTGTATAACCTTTCAACCTAAATAAGGTCTTCTTTGCAGTGCTAGTAATTCTGCTGATACATTAAAAGGACATACAATTGCAGGGTTCCTAACCATAGTTGCTGTTTGAATGCTATTTTATGTAGGGCCCTATTCATAGAAAGACTACGAAAATGCCTACTTACTATTGAGTGGAAGCCTCAGGCTTGTTCTAAATTCTTTTAAGAAAGAACTATAGTCTGTTTCTTTTTTTTTTTTTTTTTTGAGACAGAGAGAACGAGAGAGAGAGCACATGAGAGGGGGAAGGGTCAGAGGGAGAAGCAGGTTCCTTGCTGAGCAGGGAGCCCGATGCGGGACTCGATCCAGGGACTCCAGGATCATGACCTGAGCCGAAGGCAGTCGCTCAACCAACTGAGCCACCCAGGCACCCCTATAGTCTGTTTCTTAAGTTTATATTCATTTCCCATATAGAAAAGTTCTGTGTTGAGTACTGAATATCTCTGCTTGTTATATCTGAAGATCTAATTAGCAGAAAAGCATTGCTTCTTGCTTTTATAGAGACCAATATCCCCTTTTAATCAGGAAACATATCACTGACATTTAAGAACTAGTCCTGTTTCAGATACAGTATTTCATAATAGAAAAACTAATTTTTAACATTAACAAGATCCCATGGTGACATAGGGTTTTGAAAATTTTTTTATTTTTGTTCTTAAAAAATCTTGTCCTGCTATGCATAAATGAAATAAAATTATTCATAGTATAGGGGTTTTACAATGTAAAAAGGATAAGTTATATTTTGTGAATGTATAAACTTACTGAATTAGCAGATAGTATTTAAGACATTAATAATCCAGCATCTAAAAATAGATTAAAACTCTATCAAATAAACAATAAGGTTTCCAGAAATGACAAGAATTGATATATCACATTTAAGTTATAAAAACAAATAACAAAATTTAAAAAAAACCTAAAACATGGTAAGAATAACATATTTGCAAGATAGATCTATGAATCTGCCCGAGAAAGCCCAAGGAGAAAAGTTAATGATCACTGGGGTGAGAGAAGTGTGAACATGTGTGCACATGCTCACACACACACACACACAGTACACTAGGCTAAGATAGAGCTTGAATGTGAAATTGGCTTTAACTGCCAACATTAATGATTACATTTAATTGGAAGAAGCATAAACCTATTTCAGTAATAGTTTACTACATTAAGGTATTTCATAGAATATTTGGAATAATTTATAAACTTTTCCAAAAGAGAATGAGAGAGAAAGAGAGAGAGAGACTAAGTTGAGATCTCATCCTTTATGGATGGATATATGCTGTATTTACTAGTCACATGGCAAAAACTTAGAAGATGCAGGCATAACCATGAAGTTTGTAATTAAGAAAATATTTTTAGCTATAGTTGTTACTTGTGGTCACTTAACTTAAAATGCCTATCCACGGGGTGCCTGGGTGGCTCGGTCGGTTAAGTGTCCAACTCTTGACTTCAGCTCAGGTCATGATTTCATGGGTCATGGGATCGAGCCCCACATGGGGCTCCCTGCTTGGTGGGGAGTCGGCTTGAGATTCTCTCTCTCCCTCTGCTCCTCCCCTGACTTGTGCTCTAAAAATAAATAAATCTTTAAAAAAATGCATATCCACAAATTGAATCATAAATGTTTCCACATTTTACCATATATATTTCAAGATTATCAACACTAGTTATCATTGACGTCAAAATGCTGATAAAAGTCATTGGGAAATCTGGAAGGTCAAGCCACATGCTTGGGATAACTTTGTGTGTGGTTATACTTTAAAATATTAACATGTCCACGGGTGCCTGGCTGGCTCAGTGGGCTAAGTGGTTAAGTGTATGACTCTTGGTTTTGGCTCAGGTCGTGATCTCAGAATGGCGACTCAGCATGGAGTCCACTTAGGACTCTCTCCCTTTCCCTTTGCCCCTCCCCCACCACGTGTGCACTTGCTCTAATAAATAAATCAATCTTTAAAATATTAACATGTCTGATGTTTCAGAATCTTCCCAATGTGTTGCTACTCATTTAAAGAAAAGGAAGGAAAGACTTCAGAAGGCCAGGACATCAATCTTACCAGGGGAGAAAAAAAGATTTCAAAGAGCATTACTTTTTAGGCATTTGAATCTATTTTTCATACTTCACATAATTATTTAAGAAAGAAGTAATTTCAAATTGTTCTATTCCATTTTAGAAAATCTTCAGCTTTTTGACAAACCTCATAGAGGTTAAGAACATAGATTCTGGAAACAGATTGTCTAGGCTCAAAATCCAGGGTCCCCTATTGCACCATAACAGGGGTTGACCATTTTTATGTAAAGCCCCAGAGTGTAAATAATTTTATGCATTGTGAATCACATTACAGTATCTGTTGCTCCTTCTTTTTTTCTTAATTAATCCTTTAAAAATATAAAATTATTAGCTCAAGGGCCATACAGAACCAGATTGGTAGTTTGCTGACACCTGATCTATATAACAGAGATAATAACATCTATTTCATAGGGTTGTCAAGAGGATTAAATGAATTAATACATGTAAAGTGCTTGGAAAGTTCCTGGCACATAGTAAAAGCTATAAAAATGTTTATTATTGGGGCGTCTGGGTGGCTCAGTCGGTTGGGCGTCTGCCTTCAGCTCAGGTCATGATCCTGGGTCCTGGGATGGAGTCCCGCATTGGGCTCTCTGCTCGACAGGGAGCCTGCTTCTCCCTCACACTCTCCCTCTGTGCTTTCTCTCTCTCAAGTAAATAAAATCTTTAAAAAAAAAAAAAAAAGTACTTTAAAAAAATGATTATTATTACTACTACGTATTTAACCAAATTTTGGTTTCAAAATACCTACTATTCCTCTATGACTTGTATGTAGCATTACTTGGTGACTTCAAATTTGGAGAAGGATTTAATTTGTCCCTCTTGGTTTATTCTAAATCACCAGAAAAGGTTTAGCATTGTACACTGATGAAACTCCCAAGTGTGGCATTAAAATTGAGTGATCAGAAGGAAGAGTCAGTAATGGTCCTGAGGCAGTCCCTTGCAAATCCCAGCAGGAGCATCCTTAGGGAGAAAGATTCACTATGAAAATATCATAACTAAGTTACTTGAAACATTCAATTAAACACAATAACCAATTTTGTATTATTACAGTATTTCTCTGCAGCCAAAGAAACGGACAAACCTATTTTAAATCTATTTAAGTGAACATTTAATCTGTTTTATTTTTTAAACTAAGAAGTAAGAGAATAATCAGAAAGCAGAAAATATGCATAGTTAAAATGCTACAGCATTTTAATGTACCAGAGTTACACATAGGATGTATTTGCCTTAAGTATTCTCGAGTAATTGCATATATTTATGGAAATCACAACGTGTTATGCTAAGAATTCCAAAGAAAAAAATAACTTGAGCAATCAAGAAATAATTCACAATTTTTAGCAGACAACCTATAAATGAAAAACAAATATATAAAACTCAGCTCTTTTGTGATTTACAAGGCACAGGCTGAATAGGGCCGCATATAAATATTTAAATGCAATACATACAAAAGATAAGTTTTGAACATTTTATGAAGTGTTTGTATTGAAATATAGAGCTTAATGAATTACACTTTGTAACAGAGTGATATATAAACATGAAAAAACACTTTTGAGTTTTAATGCAATAAATTTTAATTGTATACTATGTTAAACACAAATGCAATAATCTCAGCTTATTCACACTTTTATGGCATCCTGTAGCCCAATGTGCTTCTACATAATCTTCACATGGAAATGTAGAGTAGAATAGATGTTTATAGATATGGAGATAATGGAAACTGAGGAAAAAGTCAGTACTTTTCTTCTAAATATTTGCATAGGTTTGAGTTACTGTTGTTTGTGGAATACCAATTAACTCAGTATCAGCATAGTTTTAAGAAGTATTTTTATTAGTTATATATACCCCAAGTTGAAAATCTGAAGTGTTTAGAGACTTAAAACAAGAAAAAATTAAAAACAAAACAAAACAGTAGTCACTTTTCTCTGACTTTCCCACCCCATCCTGGTCTCCCACCACAATGGGAACCTTTTCAATCCTTTTCGCTATCCTTGTGGCAGATAGCTCTATATTTCCACTATCTGTTAATACTCCTGTCTCTTGAATTCATCTATCTTAAACAGATGGTTTGGTTCTAAATCCCAGCACCAGCATTTACTAGTGACATTTAGCAAGTAACTTCTTTAGGTCTCTGTTTCCTTGTCTATAAAACAAATAATAAAACCTACCTACCACACAAAGTCATTGTGACAAAGAATGCAAAATCCAGTATGTGTAATAGTATCTAGCCCCAAAATACAGTGTTCATATAGTGATAGCTATTATTACTGTTATTGTTATTATAATAGTTCTGGTGGATAAGGATTTGAATTCTAATACACCCTTTTTCCATCCTCCTAAACTATTCTCCTATCCTTCTAAACTACAACATATAAGTATTTTGTTAAATTACAGTGTTTTCATGTCCTTTTTATATTTAAGGCAAGTCTAGATTAATGAGACTCTCACTTTATATCCTCATCAAAACAATTTATGAGAGGCTTGCAAGCTAGCTGAAATGCTGGACTATTGGAATATTCTGGATAACTTTTGATTTGCTAAGTTCTAAACCACTGGGATTTTTGGACTAAGAGAAACTGAATTACAAAACTTTATTATAGTTTTAAAATGATTTTATTTATTTATTTTTTTTTAAGATTTTATTTATTTATTTGACAGAGAGACACAGCGAGAGAGGGAACACAAGCAGGGGGAGTAGGGGAGGGAGAAGTAGGCTTTTGCTGAGCAGGGAGCCCGATGCAGGGTTTGATCCCAGGACCCTGAGCTGAAGGCAGATGCTTAATGACTGAGCCACCCAGGCACCCCTAAATGATTTTATTCAAATCTCTATGACACAGACACATACAGCAGTACCACAGTTATGATAACACACCTAGTATTACTTACCTTTTGCCTCCTGTTTTTGTTTTTTTTGTTTCTTTTTTTAAGATTTTATTTATTTGAGAGAGAGAAAGAGATAGCAAGAGCACAAGTGGGGAGGAGAGGGAGAAGGACAGGGGGCTCCATGCCAGGACCCTGGGACTATGACCAAGCCGAAGGCAGATGATCAACCGATGAGCCACGCAGGCGCCTCTTGCCTCCTGTTTTTATCATTTTCACAGCTAAGGACATTTAAGATGTTTTACACATTGTATATTACAGTTGTTCTTTATATCCAATGTTTTTCAGGATTGACACCATTGCTCTATATACTGTTTTCCAGTGGTTAATTTAAAATGAAAGCTTCTATTCAGAGTTCACAATGATAACTGGTCTCTAAGTTTTGAGAACTAACACAATTTGCATAGAGTAGATGCTGAGATGTGTCTAAAATTCTAAAGAACATTTTTGTAGCAGTTTATGCTCAGGAAAGACATAGTTTGGTGAGTCACAATCTATTTTAACAAAGACACATTTTAAAGAAACAAAAAGTCAGTTAAAATAATTATTGAAGAATCAGATTAATTCACTTCTATACATCTTAACCTTAAAATTCAAGATATTCATTCAGCCAATGAAATAAAATTGATACTGTGTATGAAAAGGTTCTCAAAATCACCCTCATTAATTTTTAAGTTCTCTAAGGATAAAGAATATATCTTACTTATTTACCTTGTATCACCAGTGCCTAGGACAATGCCAGACTAGTGTAGGTACAGAGAGGTTCAATACACATTCACCGGATAAATAAATTCAGCTTAATTCAGTCTCAGATAATTTACAAATGCTTGACAGTAAAACACTAAATATTACGACAACACAGTGTTATTCTTTTCAGCGTAAACAAAGTACACTAGTTGGTACATTGCATATTATGTTTTATTGATAGTGACAAATAGTAAAAATTTTATGTATATATTAATTACCCATGGTCCCTTATAAATATTTGAAGTTCTTTTTCCAAGCACAATCATACTGCAAAGTCATATCATAAAACTAAATTTTAGAAGACAATTTAAAAAATAAAATGCATTAAAGATATTATAAATCATGATGAGATATTGAGATGGCTTATAAATCTGACTTTAAACATTCTAATTACAATCAAATGTAGACTTTTACCAAGAAGTTGATAATTCTGGGGAAGGAGCCCTTCTGAGGAAAGATTTAGTTTTAATATAATTAATGGTCAGATTAGCATACCTGAAGTCCTATGTTCTTAAAAAGTTCATTCAGAATCCATAAATGCAAGCAGAAGATTATAAAGTCTTAGCATTCTTAGATGCACAAACATCTTTTAAAAAATTTGAAGTATTCCCAGTTTGCCTTAAGATACATTCCTTGAATTGAAAATTGTTGAGGTTTCCAAATACTATCTTCTCATGTCTTCACAGCCTGGATCTGATCTGATAACAAAAACCAAACAAAAAATTATCAGTCCCCACAGGCAAAATCCATTTTCTAAAGTAATCCAAGAAAAATCTATAAAAACACTATAGAAGCCTATGCACACATCTGTGTTTGTTTGTTTAAAGCACACACTGTAGTTTTTATTTCTGTCATTGTGCATGCACACAGTTAAGAGTCAATTAGTTCTCCAAAGTTTGTATGAAAAATAGTCCCTTGGCTCAGGTCCTCTTTCTCCTTTCATAGGCAACCACTTCTAACCCCTTAGGAGATTTGCCTCTGTATCTCTAAATAATATACTTTTATCATTACTTTTTGAAATATCAGTTCCTTCAATGTAATATGAGGCTTCAGTTCTCACACACTCTACGCTGCTGCCCTGCAAGCCTCATTATGCTTCCAGCACTCCCATTCTTCTACCATAGTAATCTAGTCATCAATATGATGACTATATGTACATGCTATTCACATCTGAGACAGGTTGCATCTGAGACAGGTTGTATCCCCCTCCCCGCTATTCCTTTCTTCTACATTTTGTTTTCCCTGTTTTAATAAGTGGGCCTCATTCTCCAATCCTGCCTGTCTGCTTAGTTTTTTAAGATACTTAACACTAATTCATTCCCATTACTCCCACACTGTTTAAACCTTTATCATTACGAAGCACATTACACAGCCTATGAATTTCACTTTCTTGAAGAATTCTCCCTTAGTCTTCTAAAACTCTCTAATCTGGACCAGCTATTCTCTATGCTTGCCCAGCTATCTTCATAAAGAGATCTTTCATTATCATTCTAGGATTTCATTATCTCTCATTATCATCCTGAGGATCCTTCCCAAACGCTCTTATACTGGTTTTCCTGTTTTGTGGTCTTATTTTCTCCTCTTGGTTTATTCCTTTGTCTTTGAAGAGTATACCTCTCAATGGCTACTTTAGTAAAAGGTATAGAAAGTACATTCTTGAGACTGTGAATGGCTGAAGATGTCTTAATTCTACAGTCACAATACACTGATACTGCCTGAGCATATAGTTTCATTATTTTCTCCTTGGACTTTTCCAGGCATTGCCCAATTAACAGCTTCCAAATGTTGATGTTTAGAAGTCTGATGCGCATTTCTGCTTCCTTAGCCTTTACATGAAACTTTACTTTCTTCCCAGGAAGGTTGTAGAATCTTCCATTGTCTTCAGTGTTGAAATTAAGTAATAGTGAGCCTTGTTGTGGTAATATTTTCATTTGCTGCACTGGGGTCTCAAGAGGCCTTTCAACTAAAAACTCATCAGTTTTGGAAAATACCATTTGGTGACTTATTTGATAAATTTTTTCCCCTCTATTTTCTCTCTTTGCTCATTCTAAAATTCCTGTTATTTGGATATTGGGCCTCCTACTTTCTTTTCTTTCCAATCTTTATCTTTTTGCTCTACTTTCTGAGAGAATGCTTCTATTTTATCTTCTTTTTATTGAGTTTTCCATTTCTTCTGTTCTATTATTTTCCAAGAACTTATTTTTTTCCCCTTTGGTCCTTTTCAAGTAGCATCCCTGGTCATATTCATGAAAATAATACCTTTTCTTATCTCTTTGAGGATACTCCAATAGTTTCTTGAAATGTTCTCCCTTAAATATTCTACTTCCTCTAACCTGCTTTTTTGGTTTGTTGATGTTCCATAATTTATAATGTTTTGGTCCTCAAATGCCTGGTGATCCTTTGCCATCTTCTCATAAGTATGAATGAACATTATAAAGCTGACTGAAATTTCAATATGTGTGTGAGGCTTGTCAAATGTGGTCTTTATTCTAGTGTAGCTAGCTACACCATTTTCTTGGGAATCTTTGAGGTTAATACCTTTAGGTCTTTTCTCTCACTGGTCTGATTTCTTAAAGATGAGTTTCTACATCCTACCTACTGCCAGTGTCTTCTTGGAGAAGTAGGAGAAGGCAGAAGAGGATTATACTACTTGGTATAAAACTTTCAGATCAGGACTGCCACACACAGTTGTGCTTGGTATACCCTAGTCCAGAGATACTCTGTTTAACTCTCTGCAAGAATAAACCTTCAATCTTTTTGGGGGGCAAGAAAGTATACCTGTCTCTCTTTTCAGTCCCACCTCACCCTTCTTTCCACTTCCCATCAATATCTGAGCCTTTGAGGGTATCTGCATCGTAAAGTGGGATGCTTTCCAGCTTTCCTCAGTGCTAGTTTAGAATTCACCATTCTCAGGTCTGTTAAGTCATTCAACATTCATCAGACATCCAGCTTCCAAAATTTCGTTGCCATTTTTGTCACTTCCATTTTTTTTTTGCCCTTGTAGGACAATGTCTTTAAACAAAAGCCCCCTTACTGTTAGTAAGATTTGAGAAGGGGATGAAACTAAGTATGTGCTCAGTCCTCTATCTTTCATTGGAATACCCATATGCATAAGTTTATAAAAGTCTTATTTTAAGACCTTGGAAGCATTAGCTTTTCCCATACAGATAAAGTGATAAAATGAGATTAGTCTTTTAGGAAGATTTTTTTAGAAATATCTCATTTGAAAGTTTCAGAGCGAGAAAACAACTTACACCTCTGCAATCGTTTCTGTACATTCTTTGGTGGTTTTAAAAAATACTTCATAGTCTACTCAGGGGTTCTTGTCTTTGGGTTATAATATGTATGTAATTATTGAAAATCCTTCCAAAAGAGAATGGAATCATGGCACAAAATATGTCATTTAATATTTTACTCAACATTTTTTAACCTTAAAATAATAAGATTAAATTGGTCCAAAATCAATCAGAGGCTTTCTTGTTTATCATGCTAGGAAATTCAGAATTCTGGAATCAAAATGAAGAAATGTAAATTCAGAATATCTTTCACAGTTACATTTACATAAAAACCTTTAGCTACAGGCATGGACTAGTCTCCTGTATCTACTGCTACCTAATTTGCGAATTAGGTTTTTACCTCTTTTTAAATCCAGAGAAAGAGTCTGGAGAATCAAAATGTAAACTATTTACTATTACGTAGGAAAGATGAACAAAGGATCTCCTATTCAAAACCAAGCTGATAACACTTTAATCTGTGTACTAAGTTTCCTCCTCTCCTAAATAGAGAGTAGTTAGGTAAAAGGGTAAATTTAACATTTATTGGGTTTTTTTCTTATGCTAGGCATTTTCACATAGTGTTTCATTTAATCCATACAATTTTTGACATTTTACTTTTTAATTGTATAGGTGATGAAAATTATCTTCAAAAGAAAATAACAGAAAATTGTTAATAATTAGTTAATAAGTAGTAGAATGAATCTAGACTCAAAGCTCAAATGCTTTTTATTACTACTCTATGCTCCCTACATAAAATAGGGAAACTGTTCACAGAAAACTGCTCTAAAAGTTACATAAAATAATATGGTAACACAAAGCACAAAAATATTTTCAACAGTGTATTCCCCTTACAAAATGGGAAGTAAGATACAAAGATAATGAATCAGAGAAATCAAAGACACAAAAATTGGGTAATAAGACCAGAGTTGGCAAGTGGCACTGTGATGTTGGATCGTTACTGACACCTAGTGGTCTCATTATTACAGACAAAATATACCAAAAACGAAAAAAGGAAGCGAGAACTACAATTTATCAACCTATTTTCAGTAGGTACTATGTTTTCATGAGCAACAGTAGGATTTTATCCATACTGTATCTTCACTGTGAGCAATATGCACTGGAAAATAAGAAATCAAGGCTGAACATATGCTTCTGGTATCTTCTGCAAAACACTGCTCCTTAACCTGTTTTATATGGGAATAAGTCCCATCAAATCATCAGAAGTGTAAACCAGTTCTTTATCACCATTAGAGGTTCTCAAGTTATATTTTACTTAATTGTAAAGTATGACTATAACATTCTTTGTAGTTTAATGGTAAATGTCATGATATCTACATAAAAAGAAAGAAATACAATAGTCTATGCAGTTTATTAAAATACCATATTTTACTAATAACACATAAAAATATTTATCAGATGTACATTTAATACTCTGAACCAAAGAGATATTATGTCTCTTTATGTATGGTCAAGCAGGCTATTAGATTCACCAGGATATGCATAAGAGAAAACAAAATTACATATATAACTGGCATTAAAAGGTTAGTGTAAAAGAAATTAAATTTACGGCCACAAAACTATAACTAGAATTAATAATATTTTGTTATTCACCCTTGTTCAGGGCTGAGAGATTCCTGATAGGAATGACTCCCCACCAGTTCTGCTCACAAATGGACATTTTTCGGCCTGACTCAGGGTCCTGTAATAAAAGGACCTACAGAACTTGGTTTCATCCACATCTATTGCTCTGTGTGGGTCACTGCTTCAATCCATTCCTGTGATCAGTAAACAATGTAATCTTAGAGGAAATGATATATCTTAATTTATTCCTTGATATGGTAAGACTGTACCAATCAATGATAGCTATTTTGATGAATAACAAAACTGCAATATACAAAACATCCATAGAATACCGGTATTTACAATACTAAATGAGTGTTAAAATTTGTGTAAACATGTATAAGTGGAGTTATACATAGAGTTCAGCATGATTCTTAGAAGATATATTCTATTCAAACTTATTTTTAATTATTGACAGTAAGGCCTGAAATTTGTCCCAAACTTCAAATGTGCTTCTATCACTAGATCTGACAGAAATTTGTTGCCATAAATTAAAATTATTTTCTAGAGTTGTCATGTATATTGATTGTAAAGATGCAAATTCTTTATTTAAATAAACCCTTCAGAAAAATGTAATAGAAGTAAACGTAGCCTGTTACAAGAACAGATTGTTATTAAACTTATATAAATGACTATGATTGTCAAGGAAGAAAGAATACTTATTGAGACCTTTTGAATTTTGGAGGGTTCAGGTAGACAAAAAAGTTAAATACTTTAAAATTTTTATTATTTCTGTTCTCCTTGTAACAGGACACCATTGGAAACATTAGTTATTTTATCAAGGCTTTGACTGGAATGTCATATTTGAGAGAGACATGCATAGACTCAGATATGACCAAACAGCTTTGACAAACTAAGGCTGACTTTATGAAACATGGAGCCATAAAGCCCCTTGGAAATGTTGGCCTGATACCTTGCTTACAGAGTTCCCTGCAGCCTCACCAGGTGAGTATAGAATATTACTTCCTAGGGGGGGTGGGAGGATGGGTTAGCCTGGTGATTGGTATTAAAGAGGGCACGTTCTGCATGGAGCACTGGGTGTTATACGCAAACAATGAATCATGGAACACTACATCAAAAAAAAAAAAAAGTGTCACTTCCTGGTAGGTGCAGGAACCTCAGGATATACTGGGGACCTCATGAAGAGGAATCCGCCCAATCTACAGGTATGGCAGGCATGTCTGATGGCAAGTAGTTGGCTTGGCTTCTGGCCTGCAGAGGCTACTAGAAGTTCAACCTAGAGATTCCTTATAAAAGTTCCAGCAAAGCAGATTCTAAAAGATCTATATGATCATTATTCTTGCTGGGCTTATGTAAATAATTAGGCCAAGTTTATTAAAATTGGACTTGTTTTGTAAACAAATTAGTCTTGATTTGGCTATCTCTGGAAATGAGGGTTATTTTAGAGAGAAAATTTGTTTCAATAACCCACCTTTGTGGATGTTAAATCCTAGTTTTGATTGTCCTTAAATGTTTGCTTAAGTTAGACAACTTGAAGTAACTTCAGAGAAATAGCTTTTCTATTTCCACACAATAGCTCACATATAGATAATCTTATTGCTTGTTCATCTGTGGGGATAACAACAGGATCCCATGGGCATATGATTATTTAAACAACTGGAAAATGGGATTAATCCCCCAACAACTGTATAACTCAACTATCACCTTGACCAATTCTGTATGAATAGGATGATGAAAATTTTCCTTAAAAGCTGGAACGTACCCTGCTCCATGAGGTTAACTATGGACTTGTGGAGATAATGGATGATCCCACTTTCTCTATGACTGGATTGGATGATGCACTTGGGGATGCCCTTATTGCCTGAGACAAGTCTTCTCTCACTTAACTGTGATTCCTTTTAATTACGATATTGTTAAGGCTGGACCTCAAACAAAGAGGGCTTCTTGATGGTTTTATTCCTTAGTCATATTTGTCCCAGGAACTACCTCTATTAATGTAAAATTACAAGTCGAGACTTTAGCCAAGCACACAGTGACCACCTTAAGCATGACATGGCAGTCACCAACAAATTTAAAAAGTGGCCCTCTAAAACTGAATAGCCCTTGATATCTTAACTCCAGTTAAAGGATGACCAACATTATATGTCTGGCTCCTAATGGACCCACTGACTATGTAGCTCTAACTTGTGTCCATAGTTTCCCCCAGGCTGGAAAGGCCACTGTACTTCAGGTTTCGCCTGAATGCATGGATGCATTATTAAAACCATTACCAATCCAGCCAACTTTCCAAATTTAAAACAATGATAGACACGTTTTGTGTTACATTGGTATGACCACCTAGCATCATCTTTGTTCCCTCTTTGAGACTGGAGGATGTTTGGCACATGGAAGCTCTTAATTAAGTACATGGTCAAAGCCCTAAATGACACTCAAAAGGGCATTTCTCTATTAAATACTAAAGTAATACAAATGTATGAAGCAGTTTTACAAAATAGAGTGGCATTAGATGTTTTAACTGCTACAAAGGGTGAAACTTGTGCTAACATAAAAACAAAATGCTAAAAAAAATAAAAATAAAAAATAAAAACAAAATGCTGCGTATACATTCCAGATTACCACAAAAATATATCTGGGTTTCTAACTGAACGAATACTCAAATTGGCACTTTAAATGATCTCTCTTTCCTTTAGTGATTGCTTTAAACTCCTGGCCTGGAGGAAAATTATCAAAGGTCAACTATCAAAGTTCTTTCGTTCAGATTTCTCTTTCTCATTACAATATTAACCTTATTTTCTTATTTCTGGTGTCTCCCTGCCTAGTGTCAAGACTCCACTGCCATAACTTCCAGCTGACAGATGATCCTTTTTACTCATGGAGGTTCATATATGTTGACCACGTTGGATTTAGCTGCCTCCAACTTTTGTAACTCCCCCATATGTTCCCCAACTGACAATACTGACCCATAGGTATGGACATCTCTATGCCCCTATTCAGCAGGAAGAAGTTACAGAAGATGAGACATTCTACCTTCAACAACCTTAAAGATTTAAGGGTCAAAATTGTTCAGGTGGGATATGATGAGGGAGCAGAAGGCTTGCTGAGGACAAAGCATAAGCTGACACCCTGCAATCTCCCCCTCCACCACACTCCTGGGTAGGATTATGTGTGACATTCTTCCAGGAAGCTCCTAACTATCTTAATGTTAATGCCTTGCAAAGGGGGAAAAAACAACCTTAACTTGAAAAGGGCAAGGCGTCTGGTATCTTGTAGGTCCTCTTTGGCATATGAAAGTTCTTTCGAAAACTTCCCTTTTCCCTTACATCCTTCAACCCCATAGTATATAATCAATTGCTCCTCACAACCCTAGTGCAGGTCTTTCTGCCCATGGGTCCTGTCCCTGTGCTTTAATAAAACCACCTTTTTTGCAAGCATGTGTGCGCACACACACACACACACACAAAACCCAAAAAACAACCAATAAAACAAAAAAACAACAAAAAACAGAACAGAACAAAACAAAGAAGTAAATGTAGCAAGGTAATGGATACTTACTGGATTGTTTTTTCTGACAGCAGAAATAAATGGAAACGAGAAAGGCAATGATATAATAAAAATGAAATGTAAAAAGGGAAATAAAAATGTGAATAGAATAGAAATAAAGGCTGAAGATGCACAGTATTTTGAGATGTACCTTGAAGCCAGTCTACACCTTCTTGCAATCCTTCTCCTTTTATGGCATCACTAGCACTGAAATAAAATCCATAAAAAACATATCCATTTCATTACTTCATAGAACCATAAGAATAAATAATTACAACTTTGCTATATGGCAAATTAATATAGTCTAGTAACATATATTTGAGCAAAACTGGTAAGCACTGAAACTGAATATACATAAGAAATAAAAGTCTGGGTGCTCAGGAAGAAGACATGAGAAACTTACTCATGATTTATAATAGACATTTGGAAAAGTGTTATCATTAAAACAGTTATTACTCTACTTTGCCCAGCCCCTGTGGCTCAATAACATTTAATTATTAGAAATGGCTGACTTAGGTTGTAATTTAGCCACACGATGGAGTGACTTTATTTGAAATGGAATTTGATATCTATAAGGTATAAATCTGTAATTAAAACTTTGGTAAACTGGTAGAATAAAAAAAAAATCTCAGATTTCAATCATACTCTTCTATCTAGTGGCTTCAGGAACTGGACAGGTTATTTAACTCTCTGCCTTTATTTTTAGCATCTATAAAATGATGCTGAATAAACTAAAATAATGAAATGCAGAGGATTTTTAGTATCAGATAATCTTTTTCAAAGACATAGACTGATAGCAATTAGTATAAACAACTAGATTTTCTGAATGATTAGGGTTCCTTTTAAGTGTGCTAAAGCATGATTTAAAAATGTACCTAATTACCTAAAATAATTAATTTGATTCTAATCAAAACAGAAATTACTTCCAAGGAATTACTTATTAGATTATGAATATGACTTATCATAGAATTATTTTAAAATAGAAAGAAACCAACAGCATGTGATACATAATTATTCAAAGTAAATTACAGATTATCCATATCAATAGCAAAACATCAGTAACTGAAATGCTTATAAAGATCAATGTATTGATCTTTATCACACATTTACAGTCCCAAACAAGACTAAGGTCTCAACTGAACAAGTAATAAAATGGAAAAACTTGTCTCCTTTACTGGAGGCGTTAGTGCCATGCTAAAAACCCTGCATCTTTTCCTATAATTCCCAAATGTTTGAATTCTACCTTTCCTTTTGAATAGATCATCAGATCTGTAACTAGAATAAAAGCCAAAGTCTTTGCCATGTCCTACTAGGACCTGTGTGATACAGCCTGTGGCTATTTCTCCATGGCCTCATCTCCTACAATTTCCCCCTGGATCTCTCTGCTCAAGCCAGCTTGGACTTCTTGCTATTCCTGGAACACACGAGGCATATTCTCATCTAAGAGCCTTTTCACTTGGCTGGCCTCTCTGTCTGGAAAGCTATTCCTCCAAACTTTTGCATGAATTTCTCCCTGACTTCAATTAGATTTCACAGAGGGAGCACCTCTCATTCTTTCTCTTATTATCCTACTTTACTTTTCTTCATCCTTTCAGATATTTTACAAAATATCTATTTACCTGATTTGTTATCTATTGCCCTCACAAGAGAGTAAATAAGCAAATACGTATATACTTATTGTGCCAGGGACTTTATCAAAGAACTTTTTTAAAAGAACATTAACAAAATCAGACCCCGAGAATCAGAGTTGGCTATATATTTAGTACAATGATTAAAAATAAACCACAAAAATTTCCAGGCTGCATTTCTCTATAATCTTTTCTTTATTGTCCAGTAAATTTACTTGGACCTAAGGCAAGAGAGATAGAATGTTTTATCTTTGTATCACTGAGTGTTACCTTTATTTCTAACACTGGAAAAGAAAAATAAGTGTATTTTCAACTTTATACACGCTTTAATGAACATAGCAAAAAATAAAAAACAAGCTTAACAAATGAAACACTAGAAATTCAGTGAGGTACTGTTTGAATAGAGCCAAAATTATAGACAACTTTCAAAGAAATACTTGGCATTCTTCTATAAGTTATACAGAAAATATAGAACCTGGCAATATAATACTGCACATCCTTATAGCAACAGGACATTACCTTTTCTCTCACTGAGAAGTATTTAGATGTCACAATTGAATAAAGAAATCTGTTAAAATTCAATTGCTGATGTTAAATTTTAAGTAGAGATTTTTTTCCACTTGCAAAATTAATTTCTATTTCAAAATTAAAAGTAGGACTACATCTTTTACTATAAATTAGACCTGTAGTCTTAATGTGAAAACTCACAATGCTTAATACAAAGCAAAAATTAAAAACTATTCTACTTTGGGTATTACTAATTTAGGTATGATTTAGAGAATGGGGCGCCTGGGTGGCTCAGTTGGTTAAGCGACTGCCTTCGGCTCAGGTCATGATCCTGGAGTCCCGGGATCAAGTCCTGCATCGGGCTCCCTGCTCGGCAGGGAGTCTGCTTCTCCCTCTGACCCTCCTCCCTCTCATGCTCTCTGTCTCTCATTCTCTCTCTCTCAAATAAATAAATAAAATCTTTAAAAAAAAAAAAAAAAGGTATGATTTAGAGAAATACAAAGGTTCTACCTATACTTCTCTACCTAAAATCCCTCCTTTCTTTACCAACCAAATATCACAGAACCACAAATTCCAAATCAAGAGACATTTTGTAAAATTGACTCTTCTTCTGATTCCAAAGTAAGGAGGGTTCTACTCAAGATATGTAGTGTTTCATTCCTGGGTAGAGGAGCTAATGGCCCTGAGTATTGAGGCGTTTCAAGGGCTTTCTCAAGCTCTCTTCTATGAGATTCCTTTTTCAGCACCAAGGTTAGCTCTGGAAGTTCTTTACTGAGCTCTACTATCTCCTTGTTCCATATTGTTTCTCTTTCTAGAGGCAGTATATTTCTCTGCTTCTTTGTTAGGTCTTCCTCCATAGATACCTTCTTTTAAAAAAGGGAAAACTGGCAAGAGAAGGACATCTTGCAGCAGAGGGAAGTAGGTGGGTGGACAGAAAGGAGCTCAGATTAATATAAGGTAGGCACTTAAAATACTATCTAATATATAACTTCTGGTTATCCTTATTGGAATATTTGGCAGAAAGGCACACCAGCGTTAAATATAACCATAAGAAACTGCTTTCCAAATAAACAATGTATAATAATTTCAGATACTAAATACTGAAGAGTTCAATTGTCTTAGTATATCCAAATAAAATTAATATTTACATTTCTATATACTCATATAAACCAGTATTTGTTGTGTACATACTAAGTACCTGGTACTACTATTATTCTAGGTGTTACAGAGTGAATGAAACTGATAAAATCTCAGCTCTCATGGTGCTAATGCACTAGTATAGGTAGACAGACCATAAAACAAGAAAAACCCAAAGAGGACATGGCAAGAGAAATATAAAGCAAAGTGTATAAAAAAAAACAAGGGTCGGGGTAAGATATAATGATATTTTGGAGGGTTATCAGGAGAGGTCTCTCTCCTGAAGAAAGTACAATAGCAAGCCAGGAAAATCATTTTGGAGACGGATTCAGACAAAGTGACTAACAAGTACAAAAAAGTCCTGAGATGGGATTGTGGTTGGCTGATTCAATGTGCAGAAGAAAATCAGTGTGCTTGAAACTGGGTAAGTGAGCTAAATTATTCTTTTAGAGTTGTTTATATTTTTGTATCCTCAGAAAGATATGAAAAGTTTTTTTTTTAAGATTTATTTATTCAAGTAATCTCTACACCCAATGTGGGGCTGAAACTCACAACTCTGAGGTCAAGAGCTGCATGCTCTGACTGAGCCAGCTAGGTGCCCCAAGATTGGAAAAAGTTTTAATAATAATATACTCATGAATACCTGCACTGCTACAATTCTACACAACTAAATCCTTAGCTTACATTTTATCATGTTAGATGACGTATACAATGTGCTTAGGAGGGAAGAACTGAAGCTCAGAGATTTTTCTCAGAATGCTATAATGAAGAGTAAATATAAAACATTACCAAATATGCCATGGTTTATCTTTGATGTTCTCTAAACACAGCAGCTGAGACACTTTTACAGATGTCACTGCATCTCTAAGATCCATTTTGTTTGCAAAGAATAAGATTGGTATTCGGCGGTGCTTAATATCTAAAAGACAAAATAAGACTACCATCACACTTCCAGCTTTTTGGTCATTTCCCCAAATATTTAAAATTGAAATTCACTAAAACTGTTTTCCAACCACTTCTTTCTGTATCACATATACGCCAACATTTAAAAACATTTCACTGTCAAGAATGTATTTGAATGATAGGAGAATTAACAAAATACTTCTTCTTAAGACTATCCACCTTCTGGGATGCCTGGATGGCTCAGTCCATTAAACGTTTGCCTTTGGCTCAGGTCATGATCCCAGGGTCCTGGGATGGAGTCCCACATCGGGCTCCATGCCGAGCAGGAAGCCTGCTTCTTCCTCTGCCTGCCTTCCTCTTCCCTGCTTGTTTCTTTCTCTCTCTCTGACAAATAAATAAATAAAATCTTAAAAAAAAGAAAAAGAAGACATCCGCCCTCTGGTTGGAGCTTTAAAACAAAGATGAGTGAGGTGGGAGTTGGGGCTCAGTAAGCAGTTACTGAGCAGTACCTACAAAGGGGTCAAATATTTTGTTTTGTTTTTACTGTCAATAGAAAGGAGTCAAACTTCAAATGAAAGTAGAAGGGAGACAAACAAGATCTTGATTTTAGATTTTAGTAACAGGTTAGAAGTAACAAACTACTTTAACAAGATATTTTACCTTGTTACAACTTTGGAAACATTTTTCACTGTTTTGAATAGATAATACATTTAAATAGTTCAACATTCAGAGGACACAAAATGGTATACCGTAAAAGAATCTCCCTCCCACCTGTCCCAGGCCATCCACTCGTCCGCTCTAGAAGAGTTAACCTATATCACCTATTGCTTGGCATCTTTTTAGAAGTATTTGCAAAAACTTATTATATATTACTCTTTATACAAATAGTAGCAGACTATCAGTTTTATATCTTTTGCTTTTCACTTAATTTCATATCTTGGAGCCTGTCCCATACCAGTAAGTAAAGAGCAGTTTCTTCACTATTTTAACAGTTGTAGAATATTCTGCCTTTTAGTACTATGTACCATAATTGTTTAATCAGTATCCAGTGAGATATATTTGTATTGTTGCCAATATTTAAAACTATAAACAATGCTGAAATGAATAAGTGTACATAGCAAATTTTGTACATGGGCAGTATGTTTGTAGGATAAATTTGGGAAGTAAAGTTGCTGGTTAAAGGATATGTAAATTGCTATTTTGATAGTGATTACTGAAAGGCCTTCCTTTAAAAATTATATCAATTTACACTTCAACAACAATGTGTAAGAATGAACGTTTCCAGTGCCCTTGCCAAAAGTGTTATCAAACCTGTTGATCTTTTTATGATAGTGGATAGGTAAAAAAGTACTATCAGAATATGTTTACTTTGTTTTAAGAAAGGTCAAGAATTTTTCTATATATTCAAAAGATGCTTCTATTTCTTTTTTTACGAACTATTTTATCCTATCCTTTCCCCATTTTTTAAAAGATTTTATTTATTTTTTTGAGAGAGAAAGAGAGGGAAAGCACAAATAGGGGTTGAGGGGCAGAGGGAGAGGGAGAAGCAGATTTCCCTCTGAGCAGGGAGCCCGACTCAGGGCTCCATCCCAGGACCCTGGGATCATGACCCGAGCCGAAGGCAGATGCTTAACCCACAGAGCCACCCAGGCGCCTCTAAGTTTTTATTTTCTATTTTATTGATTTGTAGAAACACCGTAAGTAGTACGGAAAAAAGTCCTGTAGCTGTGATATAAACTGCAAATATTTCCCCTTGCTTGTCATTTGCCTTTAACTGCTCATGGTTTGTTTTATAATTAAAAACTTTTTATATAGTCAAATTCATCAATCTTTTCTTTTAGGATTCTGGGTTTTGTGTTAGAGTTGGAAAGACCTCCTCTTGCCCCCAGAATTATTTTAAACTTCTCCCATAGTTTCTTCTACTGCTGCATTGGTGTGATTTTTACATTTAAATATTTAGTCCAGCTAGAATTTACCCTGCAACAGAGAATGTCAGAATGGATAAAAAAGCTACACATAACCATATGATGTTTACAAGAAACACAGTGAACATAAGGACACAAACAAGCTGAGAGGAAAAGGATGGAAAAACATGCATACACATAAATGTAAGAAAGCATGCTGGGCTACACTATAATCAGACAAAGTAGTGTTCAAGAAGAAGGGGAAAAGAGGCATTTGTTGTTGTACTCTGTGCCGTTTATTATATGTCAGTGCTTTTTAAAAGTTTTTATTTAAATTCCAGTTAGTTAACATACAGAGTATTATTAGTTTCAGGTGTACAATATAGTGATTCAACACTTTCATACAACACTGTATGCTCATATAACACCCCATACTCATCACAAGTGCCCTCCTCAATCTCATTACCTATTTAGCCCATCCCTCACCCATCTCCCCTCTGGTAACCATCAGTTTGTTCTTTATAGTTAAGAGTCTGTTTCTTGGTTTGCCTCTCTCCCTCTTTGAAAAAGACAGACATTTAAAAATTATGAAAGTGTCACTCACTCAAGAAGACAAAACAATTTTAACTGTATATGCATCTAATAAATGAACACTATCACCTGACATTTATAGACCCTTCATCCAACAATAGCAAAATACGTATTTTACTTAATGGCAGATGGAACATTCACCAAGCCAGACTATATATGATGACCCAATATTTCTAAGGATGAAATCATCCAGATTATGTTATTCCATCAAATGGAATTTAGAAATCAATAACAAAAAGAAACCTAGAAAATTCCCATATATTTGGGAAATTACATAATACACTACTAAATAATCTAAGGATCAAAAAAGAACTCACAAGGTAAGTTAGAAAATACTTCAAACTAAATAATAAAGGAAACAAACATATCAAAATTTGTGACATGTAACTAAATCCTTAGAGCATATGTATTGCTTTAAATGCTCCTATTAGAAAAGGTGTAAAATCAATGATTTCCACTTCCATCTGAAAAAGGCAATAGACAATGAAATACAATGTAAGTATAGAAATTTCATAATAAACCAAAGAACAGAAATTAACAAAAATTTTTAAAAAACAAACCAACAGAAGAAATTAACAAAGCCAGAGTTCTTAAAAAGTTAAGAAAACCAATAACCTCTTCAAAAAATTGAACAAGAAAAAATGGAGGAAACATAAATTATCAATATCAGAAATGAAGGAAGATACACAGATTTTACAGACGTTAAAAGGAGAGCGAGAGGATTTTATAAACAGTTTTATGTCAGTAAACTTGACAACATAGATAAATTTTAAAATCTGGTCAAAAATTACCAAAAGTGACCCAAGGAAAAATACCAAACTTTAATAAGCCTTATATCATTTAATGAAATCTAACTCCTGATTCACAGTCCCTCTTACTCCCCCATACTCCCGCACACATACAAAATCCCAACCCCGATGGCTTCATTCATATATTCTATCTAACATTTAAGGATGAAATAATACCAGTTCTATCCAATCCAAAAAATAAAATAAAAAGAGAAAGAGTAAATATTTTCCAACTCATTTTATAAGGTCTCTATCACCCTGATGAATAAAGCATTTTAAGAGAGTTACAAACCAAAAACCTTATGAGCACAAAAACAAAAATTTTTAATAAAATGTTAGCAAATCCAACTCAATGATATATCAAAAGGTTAATATTCAATGGTCAAATGAGATTTAACCCAGGAATGTAAGCTTGGTTTAATATATGTGAATACAGTATAATATTATCATCGTAATAGATGTAGAAAAAGCATTTGGTAAATTTTAACACTAGGTTATAATGGAACATTTTGAAAAACTAGGAATAACAGAAAATTTCCTTGACCCAATAGAGATATAAGCATACCCTAGTGAGCATCATAATCAGTGGTAAAATATTAAATGTAAAGAATGGAAATAAGATACAGAAACAACCTAAGTATCTATCAATGATGAATGATAATGATAGTGAATAACATGGGCTTGAATTGTGCAGGCCCAGTTATACGTGCCTTTTTTTCAATAAATATATTGAAGAATATTTTGGAGATTTGCAACAGTTTGAAAAATCCTGTAAACAAATCATGAAGCTTAGAAACACTGAAGGAAAATTAAGAAAAAGTTAGGCATCTCATGAATGCATAAAATATATATAGAAATGAGATGATTTTATCACTTAGTACCATAAAAGATATACAAATCTATTATAAAAAGTTAAAATTTATTAATTCTTATGCACATCTAGACCAAATATGGCAGCATTCACAGTTGAGAGAAATGCAAACAAGTGTAAAGATGCAGTATTAAATCAAAACTGCATAAAATTAACTGTAGTAATACTGTACCGCTGTAATAATTTCATAGCCACCTCCTGTAGCTATTGCAGTGACCTCAAGTGTGGAAGGATCTGCTTAAAATGCTATGTGATACTAATCATCTCTATGTGAGCAGTTCCTTTCTCTAGTAAATTGTGTGTATCACAAAAAGCTGTCACAGTTCTCATATATTTTTTCATCTTATTTTGTGTAATACTGTAAATCCTGAATTACACCATGGGACCCATACAAAGTGCCACCAGTCATGCTGGAAATGCTCCCAAGAACCGGAGAAAAATCATGACATTACAAGAAAAAGTTGAACTGTTTGATATGTATCATAGATTGAGGTCTGCAGCTCTGGATGCCCACCATTTCAAGATAAATGAAGCCAGTATAAGGGCCATTGTGAAAAAAGAAAAGGAAATTCATGAAGTCATTGTTGTAGTTACACCAGCAGGCGTGGAAATCTTGCACTTTTCATGAAATACCTTTTTACCTTGTATTGAAATGTAGCTTTTATGTGGGTGCAGAATTGCTGTAAGAAAGGCATACCTATAGATTCTAACATGATTCAAGAAAAAGTGAAGTTATTATATGAACATAAAGCAATAGGAAGGTGGAGAATTTAATGCTAACAAAAGATAATTTGGTAATTTTAGAAAGAGGTCTGCCTTAAAAAATGTCAAGATAACAGGAGGAGCAGCTTCTGCCAACCAAGAGGTAGCAGACAGAATTTCCATAGGTTGGGGCGCCTGGGTGGCTCAGTCGTTAAGCGTCTGCCTTTGGCTCAGGTCATGATCCCAGGGTCCTGGGATCGAGCCCCGCAGCCGGCTCCCTGCTCCGAGGGAAGCCTGCTTCTCCCTCTCCCACTCCTCCTGTTTGTGTTCCCTCTCTGTGTCTCTCTCTGTCAAAAAAATAAAATCTTAAAAAAAAAAAAAAAAGAATTCCCATAGGTCATTAAGAAAATCCCTGGGGAAAAAGGGTATCACCTGAACAGGTTTTTAATGCAGGAAAAAGTGCCTTATTCTGGAAAAAAAAAAATGCCACAAAGGACATTTATTAGAGAAGCAAGCACCAGGATTTAG